TATACTTTAATATACTACTTTTTGCTAAGGGTGGTTTCTTCCACTGCAATGTTTGCTTGCAATACCTGCAACAAGGCCAAACTGATCCACTGACCACTGTTCCACCTTTGTACTGAACAGTTTTAATTAAATTGTGTATCTTAAAAAATGATTTTTTTTTTTTGTTGCCTGCATTGCCTCCATTTTTATACTCACATTTTAGGTTTCGTTGCTCTTGTGACTGTTTATTTTGCTCCCCGGGTGCTTACATAGCTGCCCATTGTTCCACCTGGGTGTATCTCACATGTGATGGGTTAAATGCAGAGAACTAATTTCATCATTGTATGGAAAGATGCAATGATGACAATCTCAGACTTCCCTCCCTTATTGTATTAATAAGTACAGTGGCCAACAGGTGCAAATGCACCACAAATGGTGAAACGCTCAATGAGTGGCTCATCTTAAACAGGTGGTTGAATAACTAAAAAAGTGTGTAACTGGCAGATGCTAAAACAGGTTTATAAAAGATTCTGTTTGAAGGAACTTTTATTAAGGCGATCCAGTTGTATATAAATTATGTTCAATCCGTATAGTATAATTTCCCACTCATGATTAAATCAATGGCAAATTTTCTTTGTTAATTATTGCTACACATAGCTATGTTTTATGAATGGTTGCCCAAAAGTCAACTTTTTTGGTAAAAATTGGTAAAGGTTTTGTTCATTTTTTTTATAAAACTGAATAAAAATGTTAACTTAGTAATTTGAGAGAAATTGCATCATCCTTAGTTTTGCACATTTATAGATTTTTTTCACCAGGTTTTTGTTAAACCTAAAAATTATAATGATAACCCACTTAAAATGAACAAAACGTGTCAATCTGTCTATCCTCTTCAGCAATCAGGCCAAAATTACAGTACTGTGTAACGTTTTTAAATTGCAGTTGCAATCTGCACAAAAGCACAGTGCAAGGCTGCAAATGGCCTGCAGGCTGCATTTCAGACCCCCCTGCTGCTCCCAGAAGAAGATTTCAGGTTTGGAGGAAAGCCTTCCTCAAGCCTGACATGCCTGTGGAATGACATATCTGCCATTGTCTGTGACGTGTTTGTGGAAGAAGAAAAAAATCTATTCAGTATATTGAGAGGTTGGTCATGTTGTAAGTCTGTTATTATTTGTCTGAACTTGCATTTGGGTTTTAATGTCCTCCTTTTGAAGTTGATTATGCAGCTGAACATTTTGTATCTGTCCTTTTACGTTGTTTGCCAAGTAGCTTGGGACTATCTTGGGTGTGCTAGTCTCAATCCCACGGAGGAGGGCGTGTGTAAGGATTGAACAGAGGACAACCAGTGGTGTTTGAATCCTCTTTTTATTTCAGTAGTGGGGACAGACAAGAGATGTGGAGCAACATTGAATATTTAATCTTTAAAAGTTGCAACCAACAAATAATTTTGTTGATTGGATTCTTATAAGGGTGGCACAGTTGGTAGAGCTGCTGTCTCTCAGCGAGAACAATTTATGATATTTTTGGGTGTAACTGGGACCTTGAGTATGGTACACAGTTTCTTTCCACCTCATGTACCACATGTGATGCGAATGACAATAACGAACCTTGGACTTGAAGGTCACCAGATCGACTCTCGGCCTCTCTGGGTGGGGCTTGCATGTTCTCTCTGTGCATGCATGGGGTTTCTCCATGGTACACCAGTTTCCTCCCATAAACCAAAAACATGCATGTTAGGCTGTTTGTTAACTCTAAATTGTCCCTAGGTGTGAGTGAGAGAGTGAACGGTTGTTTGTCTCTGCCCCTGTGATGGACTGAAACCTGTCCAGGGTGTCCCCCTCCTCTCGGACAGTGACTGCTGGATATGAGCAACAGTGACCCCTGTGACCCGAAAAGGAAAAAGTGGGTAAAAGATGATGGATGGATGAATCTTATAATGCTATAAAGTTTATAAACTCCCAGGTGTAAAGTTCATTATTTCAAATGCCTAATCAACTCAACAGTGGAAAAAAGGCATTTATTGAGCTTTTATTTCACGGTTCTTTTTTCTTTCGTGTTTGTCTCTCTTTATTGGACAATCACGCATCCAGAAGATGACTCAGCTTAGGTTTATTTTCTTCTTGTCCATCTATCTACAATGCATACGGTCAATCCCTGCAGAGTCCTTCAATCTGACACATGTAACCTGGAGTAATCCCTGGCCTGGAACTGTGCCTCATTAATCCTTACCTAACGCAGATCCTATGTGATGCTTAAAAGAGGCCACCTACTGTTCAGGACACAGTGAACTGTTCGAAGTGTCACCTGGGGTCATCATCATCGTACGAGTCCACGATACTCAGGGGTTGAAATGAGTTTCTATGCTGGTGAGGCTCGGCTTGTAAATTCAAAACACGTCAACTTACACTGATGCTGACTGCTCGATGGACAACGAAGGACAAAACTGAAGCTCTTTTGACGTTTGCAAGTGGCAAACATCAGGCTACATTCCTTTTATGGAAGCATAAGAAGAAAGTAGTTTAAAAAAATACTTGTGTTCCTGGTGAACTTCACATGCTTTTCAAATGACTCAGTGGCAGGCAGACGGAGTACGGAAAGAGCCAGCACACATCCTGCTATTGTCTTTGTCCACTTCCTTTCTCTTCCATCTGTCCACAGCGTGTCCTCCATTGCCTTTGCTGCTTTCTATCTCTTCCGCCCCACAAATAATCTCATGAAAGTACAATGAGTTCATGAAGCCCAACGTTAAATTAGATAAGACTTGTTTCGCTAACCTTTCAAGCAGTATCTAGGAAAAATTAAAAATAAAATCTGAACAAATTGTGAAGCTTGCCAAAGCAACCACTGCCTAAAATTCCAGCATCCATTAACTTCTTCTGTACAGCCCAATAATAATGTACTTTTGCAATAAACTGACAAAATGCCAATGTTTTCATGTATAAGGTGTAGAAGACATCCATCCATCCATATCTTTCACCCGCTTCTTACTTTTCCGGTCACGGGGGTCACTGCGGTGCCCATATCCAGCCATCACTGTGTGAGAGACGAGGTACACCATGGAACAATCGCAAGACCATCACAGGGACACATAGAGACAAACGAGACAAACAACCATTCATTCCCTCACTCACACCTAGGAACAATTTAGAGTTACCAATAATCCATCCATTTTCTTCTGCTTGTTCCAAAGTCTGGTCGCAGGGGCAGCAGCTTGAGCAGGGAGGTCCAGACATCTCTTTCCACAGTCACCTTTTCCAGCTCTTCTTGGAGGACTCCAAGGCGTTCCCAGGCCAACCAAAAGACGTAGTCTTTCTAGCGCGTCCTGGGTCTTCCCCGTGGTCTCCTCAGAGTTGGACATGCCCGAAGTACCTCCCTAGGGAGGCGCCCAGGAGGCATCCTTACCAGATGCCTGAACCACCTCAACTGGCTCCTTTCGATGTGGAGGAGCAGTGGCTCTACTGCGAGTCTCTCCCAGATAACTGAACGTCTCACCCTATCTCTAAGGGAGAGTCCAGATATCCTGCAGAGGAAACTCATTTCAACCGCCAGTGTCTGTGATCTCATTCTTCCAGTCACTAGAGCTCATGACCATAGGTGAGGGAACGTAGATCGACCAGTAAACAGAGAGCTTCGCCTTACTGCTCTGCTCCCTCTTCACCACAACAGATCGGCACAGGGTCCACATTACTGCAAACAAAACCCCGAGAACTTGAACTCCTCCACTTGAGACAGAACCTCCTCTACCCGAAGAGAGCAATCCACCTTTTTTCCAAGGTTTCCGAATTCAGAGTTACCAATCAGCCAAACATGCATGTTTTTGGTCTGTGGGAGGAAACCAGAGTACTCGGATGAAACCCACACATGCACGAAGAGAACATGCAAACTCCACCCAGAATGGCCCCACGGCCGGGATTTGATCCACCGATCTTCTTGCTGAGAGGCGGAAGCTTTACCAACTGTGCCTGTAAAGGGAATTTAAAATAATGTGGACAAGGCTCACGAGGGGGTGTCACGGTGGCACATTTGGTAGAGTTGTTGTGTCTCTGCTGGATCAAATCCCGGCCGGGGGCCTTTCTGGGTGGAATTCGTATGTTCTCTCCGTGCATGCGTGGGTTTCCTCCGAGTACTCCGGTTTCCTCCCACAGACCAAAAACATGCATGTTAGGCTGATTGGTAACTCTAAATTGTCTCTAAGTGTGAGTGAGAGAGTGAATGGTTGTTTGTCTCGTTTGTCTCTATGTGTCCCTGTGATGGACTGAAACCTGTCCAGGGTGCCCCCCACCTCTCGCACAGTGACTGCTGGATATGGACACCTGTGCCCCAAAAAGGAATAAACAGTAAGCAAACGTTCACTGCTTGAAAACACTGTTTTGAAAATGTTCCCCAACACTGATTGTCAGAAGACTCTGTTGGGCACACATGTAAACCTTAATGAGTCTGCAAGGTTTAAATTAAAAGGCAACAAATTAACATGTTCGGTTCTAAAGAGAAAAGTCAGAACTGTTTACGTTCAGCCTGTTCACACGTGAACAATCTCTGGGACATTTAGCAAATTGACCAGTTGAGGAAAAAAAAATCCTAACATATTCTCAGAAGAGCTGCACGTTTTGATTATTACTGAGCATGAACTTTGATGTTTTGAACCACTTTGGTCATGGCTGCCTCAGAGGAGTCAATGGGGGAGAGGGTGGACTCCAGAAACCATCATATCACCATCAAACTGGTTGGCCCACCATGTGAGTGTGCTACTTATGGGACCGAGTTTGTTTTGACTCCTCAGACTGATGAAGTCCTTTGGATGAAAGACGAAACGTTTCAGCAAGAAGAAACCGTCCAGAGGACCTGACTTAACTTTGTACCTGGAGGATTGAGCATGAACTTTGAAGCACGTTTTGATGTTCTAGTTTTTTTTCCATAGCTTCAAAAAGACAAGAAAGAAATGGGCTGAATAGTATGATGGATGCTTCAGTAATTAAAACAAACAACCACATAATTAATTGACAAAACTTTTTTCAGTTTATTGTCTTTCAGCAAGATAAATGTCAGGATCTCACATTGCTCAGCTTCACTCGAGGAGTTCCGTCACTCCTCCAGTGGAGTGACGTCTCATCAACCTCCTTCCACACACCAACGTCAGAAATACATTTCAAGGTATCTCTGTACAAAATGTCTATTGTCCTTTAACTTGAAAAAATGTGCCAAGTTCAATGTGGATTCCTTTCCTCTTAAGCTATGTAGGCTGCATGTTATGAAAACAAACAAACAAAAAAACATTCATAGCTAGAGCAATGCCACAGTTCAAGTAATGGAGGCAGGATCCTTCCGGACCTCTGGCAGTTCATACAAACATGGGAGGCCACATCATCCCGACAACCACCAGGGGGAGAGTGCATTTTTGTGGCAAATGTCAACCTCTCTAACAGCATCACCTTCACCATCATCATCAATCATTGCAACAATAGGAATACTGCTGGATTGCACTTTTTTTTTTTTTTCAAGGTTTCATTTTGTGGCATGTTTATAGAAAAAATATATATAGAATACAAAAAGCTTATACTTCTTTGAGTAACAGAATATAACATACAGTACTTTAGATTATGTTTTGATCAGCACATCAGCAGGTGTACATAAGTTGCTCTACCCTTGCCAAAATGCAAACATCACATTCAACAGAGATGTAGTTTTGCTCACAACTAAACGCTTTGGTCAATGGGTATAATATCGAGTATGCCTTTACTATGCTTTTCTACAGTATGTTAATGCTACATAATTATCATCCTCTGTATATGAACATCTGGTATAAAGGGGCAAGTGGTTAAGATGCACCATGAACTTTAGCATAATTACATGCGGCGCTTTAACCCAAAACTGTTTCGGCCCACGAGGTGGAGCACCATTTTCATTTCTCTCACAAATGCACTTTGTAGAAGCGTCCCACATCGGTTCAATCGATTTTCATTCGGGAAGTGGAGAACTCCCAGCAACGTTAAGCTCAAAGGTGGAGCACCTGATGCCAGTGAAGATATTTCAGATCTCCCCTACCAGAGGAAGGGTCCTTTAAATGAACAGCAATTAAAAACCCAAGTTAAAAAGTTTGAAACAGTCTTGACATTCAAGTTCCATTCCCACTTCAATTTGTGAGATCCCATTCACAAAAACTGATGGAATCACCGTAGTGCAAATTCTTTTTTTCTTCTTTTTATACAATGCACCATTAATGCAGTCCTTCTCTCAGGATACAGGAAGCTGCCTTTCGCAGCTGGATCACATCTCGGGAGCGGCAGGCGGGAGCCCCGTTGTGTGTTTTGGAGTCTGTGAGTGTTTGTGTTCCTCAGTTTGCTCAGAAGCGGCTGCAGCTTTGGCATGTACTGGGTGTGACAGCCGGACGTCCAGGGCGTCATTATGTTGCGCTAAGGAGTGCAGGCGGTAGTGCAGGACGAGGTCTTTCAACGAGCAGTGGGCGTCGTACGGTTCGGCAAAGCCATACCCGTGAGACGTGCTGTAGATCATACAGTGCTTCACCTCCTCGTCAACGCTGAAACCATTAAAGAAAAGGAGGTTACTGGGCGTCACATCGCACCAATTCTGTTACAGGTGCCAAAATGTCGTCTTCCGTGGTAAACTTACACAACAGAGCAGGCGTAGCAGCCCTGCTTGCTGCTCTCGCGGATCAGGAACGTTCCGGGAGCTTTGCCCTGGAGCATTTCCTCAGCCTGCGTTCGACTCAGTTCTCCAACAAACCAACTGGTCTCATCCTGATGTGGCAAGTTCTTCTCGTCCCCCTTCAACACGTAGGTGCTGAAACAACAAGACGGGTCTTAAAACACGTTGAATTTAAACACCTCTGTTGGGTTCCAGCGGTAAGAGGCGTCTAAACTTACTCGTCGAGACTGTCACTCTGTATCCCGAGCCAGTCGTTGATGCGTTTCTGCCGAACACCCTTGTGATTGAGCCAGCTACAAAGCAGAGATCGATGAGATTATTCAATGAAAACACAGTAACAACTCAACTCCTGCTTCAGAGAGTTTGTGAATGAGCTAACAGTTGGAGTGTACAGGTCTCGTACATACTTGAGGTACTGGTCTCTGATGTTGCGAAGCTGGATGAGGTCTGGCCGCAGGCTGCTGATCCTCCTGTCCGTCTCTCTGTAGTCCTCCACTTGTGTTCTCAAGTCTTCCTCCAGGTGAACTTTGCTGTCGTAAATCTCCCCAAGACGGCACTTCAGTTTCTCATAATGTATCAGGAAGCTACGAGGATCAAATCAACTGTCAACACTCTGAGTAAAAAGAGCACGATGGCCTGTTTAAAGCTAGGTTTAGTTTACGCACCTCTCCAGGTCATTGTTGGCGGCCTCAGATGGAGCGTTTCTCTCGAACTCTTCTCCGTAACGTTCTTGCTCACGACACTGCTCCTCAAAGATGAGCATTGTCTCGTTGAAGGCCTCAATCGCTGTGCGCTTCATCTGGATCTCCTGCATCACAAAGAAGAGACCCGGTCAGAACCCCCTGTCTGGGTCAAAGTTCAACCCTTTAAATAGTAAACTGAGAGCTGGACCCACCTGGGAGGTCTTCGTAAAGGTTTCATAAAGACAGTCAAACTCCTTTGATTTCTCTTGGTACTGCGTGTGGACCTCCTTGAGCTTCCTTCCAGCAACGTCAACACTGTTTTCTTTCACCTGAAGAAAAAAAAAAGTTCCTTACAAAAGTGCTCTTTTCAGTGTCTGGCTTTTATTTTGAAATTCAAAGAAGAAACAACGATAGTGCTGCTTACTAACCTGCTGGAAGCAGGACACGGGGTGTGTGAGCATCAGGTCCAATGTGGCGTTGTACTCCACCAGTGAGTGGTGCTGATAGTACCAGATGAGCTCCACCACCGAGGTGAAGGTGAGGGGGTCTGAGAAGCCGTACTTCCCATCACGGTGGTATATCTTAATGAGCTTGTTGTGTCCGTCTTTTCTGCTCGAAAGAAACAGCAAGGTGCAGAAATGGGTTAGCTTAAACCGTGAGCTAAGATTATTATTATTTTTGTGACGATGGGCTGTTTGAAGGCACCCTGGATGAACTTTAATTAAACTCTCCCAAAGCATTCATTCGAGAAGCATCAATAACATCTAGAACTGATTTTAACAGGCTGCCACAAACGATCCATCTTAGAAAACACAAATATCTAAAAGTCAGTAACTTTACAGACATGGAGCTAAAATCAGTGACTCAGTCAACTACAACACGATTTCCTACATTGCACTGCAACTTTGGCATTGAGTCAAGTCTGGCCGTATGTCGGCAAAATATCTAATCACATTTCTACTGAAACTTTCAGGAAATAAGTGGATGTGCATCTACAACTGATTAAATGTTTGAAGTCAACTGAATTCAAGACGGTCACTGCAACTAATCAAACAGAAAATGAGTACAGCTGTGTATTTTACCGTTATTGAGCCCAGATTCTTTCCAGTGGCAGTAAACAGAGTGCCAGTCGTTTTGAAGTTTCACCAATACGACAACTCTGTCATTTGTCAACAGAAGACTATCTTAGTTTAAATTTCTAGCATGAAAGGATGTGGGGGCCTGTGAAGGACTTGCAACCTGTCCATGGTGCCCCCACCTCTTGCACAGTGACTGCTGGATATGAGCAATAGTGACCCCCATGACCCTAAAAGGAGGACGCGGGTAAAGATAATGGATGGATGGAAATGTATCGGTTGATATGCATTCCTTTAAGGCAGTGGTTCTCAAACAGGGTTCCCCGGACCCCCAGTGGTCCGTGAGCTGGTGCTTGGGGGTCCGCAAAAAAAAAATAAAAAAAATATTTTTAAATTTTTTACAAGCATGTAGATGTTTAACAACCCATTAAAATTCACCAGAATGCAGGAAATCACATCTACTTTATTCAAAGTTTCTGGGGGAGTACCCCCAGGACCCCCACCCACACACACAATTTGCGTGTCGGCATTGATCAGTTTACAAATTAAGCCGTTACTTTGTACGACTACTGCTGTTATGACTCTGTTCAGTTTTATGTAAAGAGTTTTTTTGTAATAATTTAAAGAAATAACACATTTATTATGTTCATTGAGTGAATACGTAAAGTTTTAAAGTGGTTTTTGATGCTGTTAATTTTCTCAAAACTGTAATTTTTGGAAGATGAAATATATATATTTTTTAAATTAAGTGCATCTTGAATGAAAAAGACCCCATGTTTAAAAGTACAAAAATTGTATTAACACTACAGAACAGGTCTTAAGTATTTATGTTACACAAATATTTCCATTGCATTGAAGAGACAAATTGAAGAAAATGATTTAATAAACATGAGGGTGATGAGGGGGTCCCTGAAACTTTTTCTCCCCTGAAACCAAAAACTTTGAGAACCCCTGCTTTAAGGAATTCAGGAATAGGCCTATAAATATTACTATTGTTCATCTTACCTCAAAGTCAGTGTAAAGTCCCCCTGCAGCTTTGTGGAGGCGTCACGCACCAGAAAAGACCCATCAGGTGTGTCTCGAAGCTTCTCGTTCACCTCGTCCCTGAGTGGAGAATCAGACGGGGCTCACTCTCCAGCTATAGATTTACGCAAACCTTTTGCAGAAATGTGTATTCTGTGGAAGGACTCGTCACCTTGTTATGTCCCCCCAGTACCACTTGGCGTCCTTCAGCGAACACACGGGTGGAGAAAGGCAGCTGTTGTTGTTCAGGGAGGACACGGCTGGTTTTGTTGATCTGGGAGGAAGAGCTGCGCACAAAGACGACAAAACAGAAATTTAAATACAATCTTTACATAAAAAAGGTGACGGAAAATCTATTTAAATATTCTCACCCCTCCCATCCTCAACAGCTAACACCCAGCTCTTTAAAACAGCCTGAACATGACTGAACTTGCAAAAGCTCTGAGGACAAGCCCAGGCATGTTTCCCTATGAGGTCTTTGAGAGTCCAACTCACACTAATCACTGGAAATAAGAAGAAGAATAGTAACTACTTGGCTTTCAAATTCCTGCGATTCTTGCAGGGTACATTTTTTAACTCTCGACCTCAGCACCGTTCTGAAATGCATGCCAGGTATTTAATTTGGCCCTAAATTATACTTTGAGCCCTTTGGAGCACCCCACCCATCCTTTATTATGCCAAGCGTTTACATATTATAGGTTTTCCATCAAGCTTAAAGCCTCGGAGAGAAAAGAAAAATTTTGTCTGAAGACCATCCTTCAAGGGAGGGGAAAAAGAGGGCAGACCGCATCAAGAAGAGGTGAAGGGCAATATATTTCACGGCAGGACAAAAGTGCCTTTCATGAGGCAGTTAGGGGAGAGTACAAGAGCACCCTCAGAGCAGAGAAAATGTGGCTGTCTCCCACCATCCGCTCTTCGCTTTTTTCCTCCTTTTCACCTTAAAATAAACAAAAAGCAGGTGCAGGAAGCACGAACGCTGCCGCTCCAGAAATTGTACTAAATTAAACCTGCACACCCTTCTTCTTCCCCGCATCTCTTTAGCCTTAATAATAAAAAAAAAACACCAGAGGAGCCACCTCATTTTAGAGCCAAACATTGAAAGTTAAGTAAGATGGCATAATCAGGTCTGGAAACGAAAGAAGTAAAAAGTAGACTCTGGAATTTTGGTAGTTCTTGACTAGAAAAATATAGGGCTGCAAAATATATCAAGAATTATTATGGAAACTCATTATATGGTATTATGGCTAAAGATTTCCATAAGTTGCAAACGCAAGCTTCATGCTATTATGCTATACAGTATATACAAACGATATATCCCTTCAATAAATAACACTATGGAGTGTGTTGTGAGCATCATGACGACAGTAAATACTGGTTCGACGTAACTAATGTTGTTGCAATATTCAATCATCATATTGCAGTTGTTTCTTTTCCTTAAATTGAGCAGCATCTGTTTTAGATCAACTGCAGCTAAAAAAAAATACATTATTCCATAAACAACAAAATTATAAAACCATTTTTTACAGTAAAAAGTGTAGCCCAAAGTGTTTTGACAATAAAATGCATTATAAAATGTGAAATAAATACCAGATCCAAGCACAATGACTGTAACATGAATGAACATTAAAGAACTTAGATTTATTAATGAGAAACAGGAGACAATAAAATGTCTCCCTCTCCTGAATTCAATCAATAAGAAACAGCTAAACATTTTTATTTAATTTACTTTGTTCAGTTACTTTGTAATTTATCTACTCCTGCACTAACTGTTTCTGGTTCATTTTGATCAGGTTGTTGAGGAATGTGCTGGTCTGGTCTTATTGCAATTTTTTTAAATAAAACATTTGTAATTATGGAAATATGTGTGTGTGTGAAAACTAAGAACAATGTAAAACTAAACCAGAAATGTCTAATACAAAAATTAAAACATTTATTTCATAAAGTTCCTCCACTGCCACCTCACCTGAACGCAACATTCATCGTTAGATCCTGACTTGAGTTTGGCACTAAGATCAGTTGTAATAACTGTGTAATGACAGTGTAATGATGATGTAATGACGGATTAATAAATTAAGTAATGTGTAATAAGAGTTTAAGAAATCAGTTTGACATGTAGAAACAGTGTATTAAAAGTGTAAAAATAGTGTAGTGACAATATAATAATTGTGTAATAATAGTGTACTGATTGTATAATATTGTGTAATGACAGTATAATAATGGTGTAATGACTGAATAATAGTGTAATAATGGTATATGGTATATTAATGGTGTAATAACGGTATATGGCGTAACAATGGTATATTAATGGTGTAATAATAGCAATGCAATAATAGTGTAATTACTGAATAAAACTATAATGATGGTGTATGAATGTAATAAGGGTTTTAATAATGGTGTAACAATGGTAAAATTAATAACACAATAACAGTGTAATACTGTGTCAAATGGCGTAATAACTATAATAATGGTGTATAAAGAATGTAATAAGGGTTTAATCATGTGAAACAACGATGTAATGATGGTATAATAACGGTGTATGAACGGTGCAAAAATGTGTATGTGTAATAAGGATTTAATTACGGTGAAATAACTGTGTAGTAATGGTGTAACAACGGCATAATAACGGTGTAATATTGATATAATTACGACATAATAACAAGTGTAATAATGGTGTAACGACGGCATAACGGCGTAAAATGATATGACAGCATAATAACGGTGTAACAACAACATAATAACGGTGTAATAATGATATGACGCATAATGACGGCATAATAACGGTGTAACAACAGCATAATAACGGTGTAAAAATTATATAATTACGGAATAATAACAGTGTAATAATGGTGTAATGACGGCATAACGGCGTAAAATGATATGACGGCATAATAATGGCATAATAACGGCATAATAACGGTGCAACAACAACATAATAATGGTGCAATAATGATATAATGATGCATAATGACGGCATAATAACGGTGTAACAACAGCATAATAACGGTGTAATAATGATATAATCAGGTCTCTCTTGTAAATGAGTCCTCGAGGCTCAATGGGATATACCTGTCTAAATAAAGGTTGAATGAATGAATATAATGACGGCATAATAACGGTGTAGTAATGGTGTAATGACGGTGTATAAAGGGTGTAATAAGCGAGGCGGTGATGGGCGCAGCTAGCGGCACCAGGCAGCGGCTGGTGGATTCATGACTGCCCCGGCTCTGGCAGCCTAACTCGGCTGCAGGAGAACAAAGCGGAGGGTCCACTCCACACAGAACTCCTTAAGCCGGTCTCTTCACCTCGGCTCCTCCTGGCAGGAGACATATAACTATGATCCCGTCCAACTTTTAGTCACGGACAAGCCCGGGTTGGTCGGGTCGAAAGAGAAAACCAGGAGGCGAACCGCTGCGCAGAACCTCGGAGAGGTATTACGTAATGTGCCATGGACCTGGCCGCCGCTGGGGGAGCTGCTCCTACAGCAGCTTTAGTACAATACGAGACGGCTACAAAGACAAAGAACAGCAGAAAAAACGGGTTCAGCCCAGAAAATGGTCGTCCTTTATAACTCCCACTTACCTGGCGGGGCTTGATCCATCTCGATGTAGAATAACCCTTCAGGAGGATAAACCATTCCTGTTACAGCTGTAGTCCGGGTTGTCTTAAGAGCTTCTGTTTCAGCAAATTAACCTGATTTAGGCTTCGCTGCAGTCCTGCGTGCACTCGGACAAAACTAGAACAAACAAATCTCCGAATTTGGACATGCCAGAGTCCAGCTGAGGTCTTTCTCGTCTTTTGACCTCACAGATTGTGGACCGACTCCTCTCCTTCGAGCTCCGCTTCTTTTCTCCTCATATCGGAAGTGACCCGATTATGAAGGGCTGTCCAGCCAGGCGCAAACCAAGCAGCAGAAGACTTGAGGGGGGGATGTCCACCTGTAGCACTCAATACCAGGTAAAATCTGCATCCCCCACTTTAAATAACAACATTAGTTTGAAAGCAACTTCTAAAGTCTTCATTTTATCTCATGAATCAAGCAATATCTACAGATATTTGGAATATTCCAGATGGCGACCCCCCCCCCCCCTGTATGTGATGGTACAGCCCGGACGCTTTCATTCAGCTCCTCTCAGCTGAGCCCGAACAGCTGAATAAATCCTGACAGCATGAATGGAAACAGAGAAACTAACTGAAATGATTTCATCAAAATGTTTGAGTTTCTGTTTCAGGGAGTATTTAACCATATTACTGTTAGCAAACACACATTTTATTAAAACATTACATCATGCTACAGCTTGGATCACAACTAAAGTCAGAGAGTCAGAGTTTCTTTATTTGTCATTCGCATCACATGTGGTGCATGTGGTGGAACGAAATTGTGTACACAGGGTCCCAGTAAAGGGATATTTAGTTAGTTTAGACTGAAGTGATGTGCTGTGGAAATGTTATGAACAGTTATTATCTTACCTTTTGTAGATAACTCTTTGAACAACCTTGGTGAGGAGAAATAGAGTCGACAGGTGCAAATAACAAAATTAAAATATCGTGAAAACGTTGTTTTTTTTTCTTGTTGTTAATCATTTCAGAAAGTGAAATATTATATATATTCATTACACATAGAGTGAAATATCCCAAGCCTTTGTTTCTTGTATATTTGATGATTTTTTTTCTTACAGATAATGGAAAAACAAATTCATTGTTTCAGAAAGTGAGAATATTCCACAGCCAGCTTTTGGTACCTTTGTCAGTGTGGTCAGGAGCTGAGTCCTGCTGGAAAATGAAATCAGCATCTCCATAAAGCTCCAGCAGAAGGAAGCATGGAGTGCTCTACAGTGTCCTGCTAGATGCTGCACAGATTGTGGACTTCAGAAAACACAGTGGGCCAACACCAGCAGAGGACATGGACCCAAACCATCACTAGCTGTGGAAACTTCACTCTGGACTTCACAGAGTTTGGAGAAATGAACATAAATCTTCATTCAGGGCAGGTTAATGGCTAGCCAAATGAATCTAGCTTTTTTCTCCTTATTCGTGCAGATAATCCACGACACAAGGTCTTATTTAGACCTGTTTCAAGTAAACCAAACAAGTTTTGCAGACAGTGAGTAATGTAGCACAATAAAAGTATCACATAAAACAAATCAAAATAACAATAGATACAAGTTTTCACAGCTTTCAGACCTGATAAATTATGCAGTTATGAGCTCTCATTTAACGAGCCACAAGATAAGCCTGGATGAAGACTTCTGACTTTTTCTTAGTATTCTGCGCTCCACGAATGATGTCATGGCTTGAAACAATTCAATTCAGTTTATTTATATAGCGCCAAATCACAACAAAGTTGTCTCAGGGCACTTTACACAAACATTCACATAGAAAAGCCAATTAGTAAAGTTCTCTATCTAAGGAATCCAGCAGACAAGATGAATCTTGGCTTCGTTGCAGTCTCCCATCCTGAGCAAGCACAGTGGCAACAGTGGAAAGGAAAAACTCCCTTTTAAAAGGAAGAAACCTCCAGCAGAACCAGGATCAGGACAAGCGGCCATCTGCTTTGACCGGCTGGTTTGAGAGGACAGGAAGGAGAGACAGACGAACATAGAATGGTAGGTCCAGATGTATCTGAGACAAAAAAACACGTCAAGGATAGAAAAAATAATTACAAATACAAAACAGGTTGAGCAGAGTAAGTAAAGACAGTAACATAGTAAAGAAATGTGGTCCTTTTGTCCTCCAGCAGTCTAAGCCTATAGCAGCATAACTAAGGGACAGCTCAGGAAACCCAAGCCAACCCTAACTATAGGATTTATCAAAAAGGAAAGTCTTGAGTCCAGTCTTAAAACTGGACAATGTGTCAGCCTCACGGACACAAACTGGAAGTTGGTTCCACAAGAGCGGAGCCTGAGAACTGAAAGATCTTCCTCTCATTCTGCTTTTTGGAAACTCTAGGAACCACAAGTAAACCTGCAGTCTGAGAGCTCTGTTAGGAAAATATGGAACAGTAAGATCTGTAAACAGCTCCTGTCCAAACTTTTACAGCTGTTCACATGGCTGCTGATTTATAACTCCCTACACTACCATCAGTTTTGTATTTTAATATAATTTTCAGTTAATTTTAATTTTATTAATATTTGTAAATGCCATTGGCAAACACAGCATATAGCTGGCACTCGGATTGTACTGGCGAGCTAGTATTGGCTAATCCGAGCAGAAACGCTGTCAAAACTGGGTTTCGTTGTCTGAAAACAGTTTTCAACTTCTACAAAGTATTAAATAAAGGTTAATAAATAAATTTCAGTTTGTTTTCTTGGCTTGGCTTAAGAAAAGATAAGATAAAACTTTTTTGAACCTGCAGGAAATTGTTGTGCCAGAGTTTCAATCCAAAGGTATATACACAAGGAATCACAGAAGATATAAAAACAACAAAGAATTAAAAAGCAGAGAATATAAATAACAGGATTCTTTGGGGTTATTCAGGGTTTTGGATGTCATTATAACCATTTTCCATTGTCCTGTTTCACCTTTACCTGCTTCACCAATACTCGGGTCTATAGTTTCATCAGGGATGGGCAGTCTGCCGAATCTTCTCTGATGTTTTTTTATTTAATTTTTTTTTTTAATTAAGGCAACCACAGCACAGCAAAATAAGTGAACTAAAGTCACCAAGCACTCCCCATCCTCTTCCACGGTTTCCAAAAACATCGTAGAGTCCAGGCCACGCTCCCTCCGCCTGCTAGAGCTCACAAACGGAGTCTTTTTAGTCAAACTGCCTCTGGATTCTGTCGTCAGCCAACAAACATGTCTGCTCCTCCTCATGGTACCACGGTGGTGGTTTACATGTGGCCATTTTTTAATGGACGCATTACATTAAAATAAGTGAATTAAAACAAATGCTGTTGTTGGGAAGTTTAAAAAAAAACATATGATTGATGTTGCTCTCTGGCCAATCAATAGTCTGTAATCTGCTGACGTCAGGTCTTTAGCTCTACTCGGTTCGCCATGAACCTTGGCTGAGGAGGTCCTGAGAACAGAGCTGGAGGCGGCTGGGACCACCCAACGGACAGACTGAAGCCACGCTGAAATGACCCGAGGATTGCCGAGTCGAGCCCACGGACAAAGGCTCTATGATCACAGTCAGTTTTGTTTTCTGTTAATCACTATTTTTAGCTTTTTACACTACTGTTACTGTTGGGGCGGCTGTGGCTGAGTGGTTAGAGCAATCGTCCTCCAGTGGGAGAGTTGGGGGTTCGATTCCACCAGCAGTCACATGCTGAAGTGTCCCTGGGCAAGACAACGAACCCCTCACTGCCTCCGATGTGTGTCCCATCAGTGTATGAATGTGATAAAGCATTGATTAGTTTTTTTTACAAAAGTGCTGGTCATAAAATTAAAATATCATAAAAAGTTGTGGATCTAGTAAAGTGCTGTATGAATGGGTAATGGACGGCACTGATTGTGTTGTAAAGTGCTTTGAGTGTCTTGATAAGATAGAAAGGTGCTATATGTGCAGTCCATCTACCATTTAATGTTAATAATGTTGATTTCATTTCTTTATGACAATTGTCCCTCCATAGTTTACAGATTGATGTTGTGCAACTGTACACACAACTTGAAAATAGACTACTCAGGTAAACAACATCATGGATTAAAAAACAAAAATTGTCTTTTCGTGAATCAACAAAAATGAATGTCAAATGTGTACATTTATGTTTTGCCCCTTTCTTGTACAGGTCCTTCTCAAAAAATTAGCATATTGTGATAAAGGTCATTATTTTCCATAATGTAATGATAAAAATGAAACTTTCATATATTTCAGATTCATTGCACACCAACTGAAATATTTCAGGTCTTTAATTGTTTTAATACTGATGATTATGGCATACAGCTCATGAAAACCCAAAATGCCTGTCCCAAAAAATTAGCATATCATGAAAAGGTTCTCTAAACAAGCTATTAACCTAACCATCTGAATCAACGATGTAACTCTAAACACCTGAAAAAGATTCCTGAGGCTTTTAAAAACTCCCAGCCTTGTTCATTACTCAAAACCACAATCATGGGTAAGACTGCCGACCTGACTGCTGTCCAGAAGGCCATCATTGACACCCTCAAGCAAGAGGGTAAGACACAGAAAGAAATTGCTGAACAAATAGGCTGTTCCCAGAGTGCTGTATCAAGGCACCTCAGTGGGAAGTCTGTGGGAAGGGAAAAGTGTGGCAGAAAACGCTGCACAACGAGAAGAGGTGACCGGACCCTGAGGAGGATTGTGGAGAAGGGCCGATTCCAGACCTTGGGGGACCTGCGGAAGCAGTGGACTGAGTCTGGAGTAGAAACATCCAGAGCCACCGTGCACAGGCGTGTGCAGGAAATGGGCTACAGGTGCCGCATTCCCCAGGTCAAGCCACTTTTGAACAAGAGACTGCGTCAGAAGCATCTCGCCTGGGACTGCTGCTGAGTGGTCCAAAGTTATGTTCTCTGATTACAGTCAATTTTGCATTTCCTTTGGAAATCAAGGTCCCAGATTCTGGAGGAAGAGAGGAGACACAGAATTCACATTGTTTGAGGTCCAGTGTCAAGTTTCCACAGTCACTGGGGTGTCATGTCAGCTGCTGGTGTTGGTCCACTGTGTTTTATCAAGGGCAGGGTCAATGCAGCTAGCTATCAGGAGATTTTGGAGCACTTCATGCTTCCATCTGCTGAAAAGCTTTATGGAGATGAAGATTTCATTTTTCAGCACGACCTGGCACCTGCTCACAGTGCCAAAACCACTGGTAAATGGTTTACTGACCATGGTATTACTGTGCTCAATTGGCCTGCCAACTCTCCTGACCTGAACCCCATAGAGAAC